CTCTCTCTCTGTCTCTCTCTATCCATCTCTCTATCCATCTCTCTATCTATCTCTCTATCTATCTCTCTCCCTCTCCTTCCCTATACCTCTCACTGTCTCTCTTTATCCCTCCCTGTCTCTCTACCTCTATCCCTACCTGTCTTTCTCTCTCTCTTTATCCATCACTGTCTCTCTCTCTCTCTCTGTGTCTCTCTCCCTCTTTCAGTATCCATTCATGTCTCTGTCTCTGTCTCTCTCTCTCTGTCTCTGTCTCTGTCTCTCCCTCTCTGTCTCTCTCTCTATCTATCTCTCCCTGCCTCTCCCTCTCTCTCTCACATAGAACATAGAACAGTACAGCACAGTACAGGCCCTTCGGCCCACGATGTTGTGCCGAACTTTTACCCTGAACCTAAGGTCTATCTAACCTCCACCTCTACCTTATACTATCATCCATATGCCCATCTAATAGCCGCTTAAATGCCCCTAATGAGGCCGAATCCACTACCCTCTCCCAGCAATGCATTCCACGCCCCGACCACTCTCTGAGTAGAGAACCTACCTCTGACGTCTCCCCTATATCTACCTCCCCTCACTTTAAAACTACGCCCCCTCGTCATAGCTACCTCCACCCTAGGAAAACGTCTCTGGCTGTCTACTCTATCTATACCTTTGATCATTTTGTACACCTCTATCAAGTCACCTCTCATCCTTCGTCATTCTAAAGAGAAAAGCTCTAGCTCTCTCAACCTCTTCTCGTAAGACCTTCCCTCCATTCCAGGCAACATCCTGGTAAATCTCCTCTGCACCTTTTCCAACGCTTCCACATCTTTCCTGTAATGAGGCGACCAGAACTGGGCGCAATACTCCAGATGTGGCCGAACCAGGGTTTTGTATAGCTGGAGCATAACTTCACGGCTCTCGAACTCAATCCCTCTATTAATGAAAGCTAACACACCATACACCTTCTTAACAACTCTATCCACCTGGGTGGAACTGTGGAGATGAACCCCAAGATCCCTCTGCTCCTCCACACAGTCAAGAATCTTCCCGTTAACCCTGTATTCTGCTTTCAAGTTTGTCCTTCCAAAATGAATCACCTCACACTTTTCAGGGTTAAACTCCATCTGCCACTTCTCAGCCCAGCTCTGCATCCTATCAATGTCCCTTTGTAACCTCGAGCAGCCCTCCGCGCTGTCCACAACGTGACCCATCTTCGTATCGTCCGCGAACTTGCTAATCCACCCTTCCACTCCTTCATCCAAATCATTTACGAAAATCACAAATAGAAGAGGACCCAGAACAGATCCTTGTGGTACACCACTCGTAACTGAGCACCATGTTGAATATTTTCCATCCACTACCACCCTTTGTCTTCGAAGAGTCAGCCAGTTCTGAATCCAACCTGCCACATTTCCCCCTATCCCATGCCTCCTTACCTTCTGCATGAGCCTACCATGGGGAACCTTATCAAACGCCTTACTTAAATCCATGTATACCACATCCACTGCTCTACCTTCATCTACGTGTTTGGTCGCCTCTTCAAAGAATTCGGTAAGGTTTGTGAGGCATGATCTACCCCTCACAAATCCATGCTGACTATCACGAATCAAACTGTGCCTTTCCAAGTGATCATAAATCCTATCTCTCAGAGCCCTTACCAATAACTTGCCCACCACTGACGTAAGACTGACTGGCCTGTAATTTCCGGGGTTATCCCTACTCCCTTTTTTGAACAAGGGAATGACGTTTGCCTCTCTCCAATCTCCCAGCACTATACCCGTGGACAGTGAGGACAAAAAGACCATCGCCAAAGGCCCTGCGATCTCTTCCCTCGCTTCCCACAGAATCCTTGGATAAATCTCTCCCTGAGTCTCTCTCTATCTCTGTCTCTATGCCTGCCTGTCTCTCCCTCTTCCTGAATCTCTCTCTATCTCTGTCTATCTTTTTATTCCCTCTCTCTGTGTATCTCTTTCTCTCTCTCACTCTTTCTCCCTATCTCTCTCTCTCCATGTCTCTCTCGCACTCTCAATCTCTCTCTAACTCTTTCCCTTTCTCCCACTCTCCATGTCTCTATCTTTCACTCTCTCTCCCCCTATCTCTCTCCCGCTGTCTCTCCCCTGTCTTTCTCTCTATTCCTTCCCGTCTCTCTCTCTCTTTCTCTCCCTTTTCTCTCTCTCCCTTTCTTACTCTCTTTATCCCTCTCTCCTTGTCTCTGTTTCAGTTTCTCTCTCTATCTATCTATCTCTCTCTCTGTATATATCTCTCTCTATCTCTGTCTATCTTCATTCCCTTTCTCTGCCTCTCTATCTCTGTCTATCTCTCTATCTCTGACTATCTCTCTCTCACTTTCTCTTCTTTTCTCTCTCTCCCTGCCTCCCTCTTGCTCTCTGTCTCTCTCCCGTCTTTCTCTCTCTCTCTCTCCCCGTCCCCCTGTCCTTCCCTCTCTCTCTATTCATACCTATCTCTCTCTCTATCCCTCACTGCCTATCTCTCTCTTTCTGCCTCCCTATCTGTCTCTGTGTGTGTGTCTCTCTCTCTCTCTCTCTATCCATCCATGTCTTTCTCTCCATCTCTCCCCGTCTCCCCCTCTCTGTGTCACCCTCCCTCTCTCTCTCTCCCTGTCTCTCTCTATCCCTCCCTGTCTCTCTCTCTGTATCTCTGTATCTCTCTCCCTTTCTCCCTCTATCTCAGTCTCTCTCTATCTCTCTCTCCCTGTCTCTCTCTCTCTCCACCCCATCTCTCTCTTTCTGTCAGTCTCACTCTGTGTCTGTCTTTCTCTCTATATCCATCCATGTCTCTCTCTCTCTATATCTCCTGGTCTCTCTCTTTCTCTCCATGTCTCTCTATCTCTCTCTGTCCCTATCTCTCTCTCTTTCAGTCCCACTGTCTCTCTCTTAAAATCGTTTTCTCTCTCTCTCTATCTCTCCCTGTCCCTCTCTCTCTCGAAATCGCTCTCTCTGTCTCTATGCCTTCCTGTCTCTCTCTGTCTCTGTCCCTCTCTGTCTCTCTCTCTCCCCTTACCTGTCTCTCTCTCTGTCCCTCTCTCTATATATCCATCCATGTCTCTCTCTATCCCTCACTCTCTCTCTCTATCCCTCACTCTCTCTCTCTGTCAGTCTCACTCTCTCTCTCAAAAATCATTCACTCTCTCACTCTCTGTCTCCCCGTCTCTCTTTCTCTCTCGCCATCTCTCTTTCTCTGTCTTGCACTCTCTCTCTCTCCCTGTCTCTTTTTTTCTTCATGTATCTCTCGCCCTCTCAATCTCTCTCTTTCTCTTCTCAGTCTGCACTCTCCCTCTTTCTCTCTCGACCTCTCTCCCTTTCTCCCTCTCTCCTCTTCTCTCTTTGTCTCTCACTCTCTCTCCTCTGTCTATCCCTTCCCGTCTCTCTCTCTCTCTATCTCTCCCTCATGTGTCTCTTTTTCTCCCTCTCTCCTTGTCTCTGTCTCAGTCTCTCTCTCTATCTATCTCTCCCTGTCTCTCTCTCTCCATATCTCTCCCTCTTTCCCTCTAGCCATCTCTCCCTCTTTCTGTCTTGCTCGTTCTCTCTCTCTCTCTCTCCATGTCTCTCTTGTCCGCTCAATCTCTTTCTCTTTCTCTCTCTCTCCCTTTCCCCCCTCTATTTCTGTCTCTGCCTCAGCCTCAGTGTCTCTCTATCTCTCCCGGTCTGTCTCTCTGTCTTTCCCGGTCTTCCCCACTCCTTGTCACCATCTCTCCCTCGCTCTCTTTATCGCTCCCTGTCTCTCTCTCTCTCTCTCTCTGCCGGTGTCTGTCTGTCTCTCTCTATCTCTCCCTGTCTATCTTTCTTCCTCCCTCTATCCTTGTCTCTGTCTCAGTCTCTCTTTCCATCTCTCCCTGTCTCTTTCTCTCTCCCTGTCTCTCTCTCTCTCTCCCTGTCTCACCATCTCTCCCTCTCTCTGTCTCGCTCGTTCTCTCCCTATCTCTCTCTCTCTCTCTCTCTCTTCATGTCTCTCTTACCTGCTCAATTTCCCTCTCTTCCTCTCTCTCCCTTTTTCCCTCTCTGTCTCTGTCTCAGTCTCCCTCTATCTATCTATCTCTCCCCTGTCTATCTCTTTCTCTCTCCCCCTTGTCTAACTCCTCTCTGTCACCACCTCTCTCTCACTCTCTCCCTGTTTCTGTCTGTCTCTATCTATCCCTCCCTGTCTCTCTCTCTCTTTCTCCGTCTCTCTCTCTCTCCCTTTTCTCTCTCTATCCTTGTCTCTGTCTCAGTCTCTCTTTTCATCTCTCCCTGTCTCTTTCTCTCTCTCTGACTCTCTGTATATATCTCTCTCTATCTCTCTATCTCTGTCTATCTTTTTTTCCCTCTGTCTCTCTATCTCTATCTCTCTCCTTTTCTCTCTCTCCCCCTCGCTGTCTCTTTCCCTTTTACCCTCTATCTCTGTCTCTGTCTCTGTCTCTGTCTCTCTCTATCTAACTATCTCTCCTTGTCTCTCTCTCTCTCTCCCCATCTATCACTCTCTCTGTCAGCATCTCTCTCTCACTCTCTCTATCATTCTGTCCCTTGCTCTCTCTATCGCTCCCTCTCTCTCTGTCTCTGTCTCTCTCCATCTCTCCCTGTCTCTCTCTCTCTCACTCCCTGTCCCTGTTTCTCTCTCACTCCCTGTCCTTGTCTCTCTCTCTCTCTCCCTCTCCCTCTCTCTCCATCTCTTTCTCTCTCTCTCTCTCTCTCTCTCTCTCTCTCTCTCTATGTCTGTCTCTCTCGGTCTATATATCTTTTTGTCTTTCTGTCTCTATCTCTGTCTATGCCTATCCCTCTCTCTCTGTCTCTCCATGTCTCCCTCAAACTCTCATTCTCTCTCCTTGTCTCTGTCTCTGTCTCTCACTCTCTCTCCTCCTGTCTCTGTCTCTCACTCTCTGTCCTCCTGTCTCTCTCACTCTCTCTCCTCCTGTCTCTCTCTCACTCTCTCTCCTCCTGTCTCTCTCTAACTCTCTCTCTACCTGTCTGTCCCTAACCCTACTCTCCTCTCTCTCTGTCTCTCTCACTCTCTCTCCCGTCTCTCTCTAACCCTACTCTCCTCTCTCTCTGTCTCTCTCACTTTCTCTCTCTTACAATCTCTCACTGTCTTACTCTGTCTCTATCCCTCCCTGTCTCTCTCAACCTACCTCCCCCTGTCTCTTGATCTCTGTCTCGCTCTCTCTCTCTTCCACTGTCTCTCTCTTGCTCTGTCTGTCTCTCTCTCGCTCTGTCTGTCTCTCTCTCTCTCTCTTTGTCTCTATCCCTCCCCGTCTCCTTCTCTCTCTCTCTTCCCCTGTCTCCCCCCCCGACCATCTCTCTCTCTCTCACCATCTCTCCCTATCTCTCGTTCTCTTCATTTCTCTTCCACCCTCTCAAACTCTCTCTCCGTCTCTTTCTGTCTGTCTCTCTTTTTCCATCTATCCGTGTCTCTGTCTCAGTCTCTTTCTTTCTATCTCTCTCTCCCTGTCTCCCCTTTCTCTGTCCCCATCTCTCTCTCACTCTCGTTTTCTCTCACTGTCTCTCTCTATCGCTTCCTCTCTCCTTTTTTCTCTCTCTCTACTCTATCTCTCTCTATCCCTCCGTGTCTCTCTCTCTCCTTGTCTCTGTCTCTCTATCTATCTCTCCGTGTCTCTCCCTCGCTCTGTCTCTCTCGCTCTGTCCCTATCTCTCTCTGTCTGTCTTTGTCCCCCCTCTCTCTCTCCTTCTCTCTCTCCCTGTCTCTCTCTTTCCCTCCATCTCTCTATCTCAAACTTTTTTCCTTCTCTGTGTGTATCTCTTTCTCTCCCTGTCTTTCTCAGTCCGTCTCTATCCCTCCCTGTCTCTGTTACTTTCTCTCCTTCTCCCTGTCTCTCTCTCTCCATCTCTCCCTTCTGTATATTATCTCTGTCTATCTCTCCATCTCTTTTTTCCCCTCTGTGTCTATTTCTTTCTCTGTCTATCTCTCTGCCTCTCTATCTCTCTCCTGATCCCTGTCTCTCTCTCCCTATCTCTCTGTCTCTCTCGCTCTTTGTGTATCTCTGTCTCTCTCTCCATCCATGTCCTTCTCTCTATCTCTCCCTGACTCTCTCTCTCCCTATCTCTCTGTCTCTCTCCATGTCTCTCTCGCCCTCCCAATCTCTCTCTCTTTCTTTCTCTCTCTCTCTGTTTCTGTGTCTCTCCCTGTCTCTCTCTCCCCTT